CACACAATGCCCCTTGTGTCAGCAGAGTGTGTCCACAGTCAGTGCTCTTGCATCGACAGAGAGAGTGTTGCATTGTGGGTGGCTATCCCACTGTGCAGCTTGCCACCCTCTGCTGCTTGGAGCTCTGGGAATGGATTCCGGTGCATCATGGGGGAGTGGTTACCATCCCATGATGCAGTTCTTTCCATCCAATCATTCCATGGGCTTCCAGCTTCGTTTTATGCCATTTTACAACAGCCCTTGTTAACTGTGCACCCACAATCTGACGGCGTGGATCCTGAACTGTTGACCAATCTGGTGATGAGCTTTATGAACTCAATGCTGCTGGTCCTACAGTATTTCATGAGCTGCAAATCAGAAAGTCAATTTGTGGTGCCTGCTCTGCTGTCTGCCACGGAAATAAATAATTCAAGATGGCTGCTGGCATTCACGGAGCAGCTGCACATGGTGGATCATCATTACTGGGACTGGGAAACAAGCACTAAGTGGTGGGATTGTATCATGATGCACAAGCGGAGACTGCAGAATTTTCAGATGTGCAAATCCACCTTCCTGGAACTGTGTGCAGAGTTTGCCCCAGCATTGCAGTGCAAGGACACCAGAATGAGAGCTGCTCTCACTGTGGAAAAGCGAGTGGTGATCACTGTGTGGAAGCTGGCAACTCCACGCTGCTACCGGTCAATTGTGAATCAGTTTGGAGTTGAAAAGTCTACCATGGGGGCTGCGGTGATGCAAGTGTGCAGGGCCATTAATCACCGCCTGCTACAAAGGACTGTGACTCTCGGTAATATGCAGGAAATACTCAGTGGCTTAGAGGCTGGGTGATAGATGGAATGCTTCTCCCGATTTTGGCCCCAGACCATTTTGCAATGGAGTACATCAATCGAAAGAGCTATTTCGACATGGTCTTGCAGGCACTGGTGGATCACCAGGGCCATTTCACTGACATCGGTGTGGGGTGGTCAGGGAAGGTGCATGAAGTGCACATCTTTAGGAACACGGGACTATATAGAAAGCTGCACACTGGGAATTTCTTTCCAGACCAGAAGATTAAAAAGGGTGATGTGGAAATGCCCATAGTGATCCTGGGATACCCCGTCTACCCCTGCTCCGGTGGCTCATGAAGCCTTACACCGGGAGCCTAGAGCACCAAAGAGTGCTTCAACAACTGGCTCAGCAGGTGCCAAATGACTGTTGAATGTGCCTTTGGCCAATTAAAAGGTTGCTGACGCTGCCTTTTTGGCAGAATAGACCTCAATGAGAAAAATATTCGATAGTCATTGCAGCCTGCTGTGCTTAACATTTGCAAAGCAAAGGGGGAAAAGTTTCCCAAGGTATGGAGTGCTGAGGTAGATATGCTGTCTGCTGATTTTGAGCATCCAGATACAAGGGCAATTAGAGGGGCACAGAGGGGGACTATTTGAATTAGGGAGGCTTTGAAGGAGCATTTTGACAATGATTTCTAGTAATGTGCATTTATGTGATGCATTCCGCCAGGCAATATTTACTTGCCACCTTGAATGATCCCTGTAGTGCTTGCTTCCTGAGTGTTAATCATACTGAGCACATGTTCCTGCCTATAGCCACTGTGTTTGAATGTTACTACCAACTAATGTGTGTATGACGCAAATAAAGCCTCATTTTATTTCAAAGATTAAAGTTTAATAACAGGACAAAACACAAACATTTTGTTAAACAGGGGACATAGTAATAAGGAACAGACTCTCAGTTATAGGCTCTTATAGCTGTGTGTAACTCCAGCTTTCATTGTGAAACCAGTCCCGTGGAGTGGAGTGGATGGGGTACTCCAAGGGACTAGGAACATGCAAGGAATGGGGGAGGGGAGGGTTTGGGGAGGGCATGGAATGAAGTTCTGTATTGATTGCAGGGGCACTGAGATATGGATGTGCTCAGACTGCAGCGTAATGAGGGACTTGAGCATCTCTCTCTGGCCCTCCAGTAGCTTTATCATCCGCTCCTGTCCCTGTGTCCTTTCCAGGCTATCCAGCCTGAATCTTCCATTGATTGTCTCCCTGCATGCTCTTGTTTTGCTCTATGCTGCATCTGTTGACTGCAGCATTTTGTGAAATATAGACTTCTTACCCCTCCTGGTTCACCAACTTATCTGACAGAAGCGCTTTGCCGGTGTGGAGAAGTGGGTCCTCAAGGGCACATCTGCAGAAGCCAAAGAAACAATGAACAGAAACAGTATTCAGAGTAGCAGCCATGTTAATCTGTATCTGTAAAAAGAAAAGGAGTACTTGTGGCACCTTAGAGACTAACAAATTTATTAGGGCATAAGCTTTCATGAGCTACAGCTCACTTCATTAGATGCAAATGAGCTGTAGCTCACGAAAGCTTATGCCCTAATAAATTTGTTAGACTCTAAGGTGCCACAAGTACTCCTTTTCTAGAAACAGTATTGTGAGTTAGCTCACAGCAGTGAATCACAAAAGTTACATGCGCCTCTTTCTCACTGTCCCTTTGCTAGCACACAGTCGGCGAGAGTCTGGAATATGGTGAGTTCGGGGGAGTTGGGGGAGGTTGGGAAGGGGGAATGGGCAAGAAGGGACAAGGGTCTGGATGGTTTGCAAAGAGGGTCACTGCATGTGCCTAAGGAGAGTATTCTGAATATTGGCACCCTTTTCCACAGGCTGGGGTAATCAAACCCAATATCTCAGTCCTCAGGGTAACCCAGGATGCAAGGGTGCATCTCCTGCATGCGTGCAGCTTCAGACTGGGTCTGTATGCTGCTTGCCTGTATGCTGCTCTGGTCCCTGCAGAAATAATTGCTGTTTGGCACGGCAAAGTTCCCTACAGTGGGGAGAGAAACAAGGCAGCTCTGCCAAGGAACCTTTGGCAGAGGATTGCAGAATACCTACAGGAAAGTTTCCTAGAGATCCCTATGGAGGATTCCCGGGTCATCCCGGTGTACATTAACTAACTTTTCCGCTGGGCACAGCTGCATAGGCTCTGTTGTTAATTTCTATCCCTTATCCCTCCTCTACCATATAACAAAGTAAATGAGACTTCAATCTCCTCTCAGCGTGCAGTATCAAAGCAAAATGTATACTTACTAGAGCTCATGCCCCCTGCTTCAGGCACGCCAGAGCCGCAGTGCAGGGACTGACTGTCCTGTGTTCCACATCTTTCTCCAGCTCCACTTCCTCATCTATTACTTTGTCCTCGGCCTTGACTCTGCTGACCACTGCTTCTAATCCCCCCTACATATCCACAGGGCTCTTGATGGTCGAGGTAGCATTGCCACTGAAGATGGCGTGCAGCTCCTTGTAGAAGCGACATGTCTTCAGTGCCGCACCAGAGCAACAGTTGGCCTCCCTTGTCTTCTGGTATGCCTGCCTCAGCTCCTTGATCTTAGCATGGGACTGCTGCATGTTCCTTTTGTGCCCCTTCTCCTGCATGCCATTAGCAATCTGCCTGTAGGTATCAAAGTTCCTCCGGCTGGAGCGAAGCTGCAACTGCACAGCCTCCCCTCCCCACAGACGCAGCAAATCCAACAGCTCCAGTGTATTCCATGCGGGAGTGCATCTACTGCAGAAAGCTGGCATGGTCAGCTGGGAAGATGCTGTACGAACTGTCCACGCTGAGCAAATGAAGAAGAATTTCAAAAATTCCTCAGTCTTTAAACAGGGGAGGGGCGAATGCCTGTGTACATTCAGGGCAATGGAGTTCAAAGTGCTGACAGTGGTCATGATGGGCATTGTGGGACACTTCCTGGAGGCTAACTAGGGCGACAGAAGCAAGCGCAGCATCTACACTGACACTGCGTTGATCTAACTTTGTCACAAAAAGTTTTACGCCTCTTGTTCAGGTCATTTTATTTTTTTGGCGTAGCAGGAGAGTTAAATCAGTGGGAGGAGCATTGTAGTGTGTATAACTCCACTGTTTTGTCAACAAAAGTTGACTTTTCTTAGCAAAGCTGTGTAGTGTAGACAAGACCTAAAAACAATACATTCAAAAACAACAAAAATATAAGAGGCATGAATTCAAACTTAGCACTGCCTAGCACTTACACTCACCAAAACAGTGGTGACAGTAGTATTGTTGTTATAGTTTGGTCTATGCAAAGCTATGTGATTAAAAGTCCTCAACACCCTCCCACCCCCTATTAATTGAAATCCAAAGTTTTTGTGTAGTAGTAGATGGCTGTCATTCGGAGATACCAATATGACACTTGTAGTCACAAAACAGTGTTTTTCACATGCATTTATTAAACACATTAACACAGTCTACACAAAACATGAACGAATGTTTTATGTTTTCCATGTAGACTGCATCTTCCCTGGGCACATTCAGCCATTGTCCCAACATTGGTGCAGCTCTAACCCCTGGCGCTAGATGCTCAGAGCCTGTGGGGAAGTTCGCGGGGAAAAACTCAGTGAAGACACGGCCGTGGGGACCTGAATCCTTTGCCATGTCCAGGTTGAGCGATGTGTCCCTTGAGCACGTTTCTGAGCCTTGTTGCAGCAGATACTCAGGCGGGAGGGCACTGCTTTGGGCGCTTTATTTAAGAAAGCCTCCTGCTCCCTGCCTGATAATGCCTCTCAGCCGTGTCTCCTCAGCCTTCTCCCCCGTGCCGTGTGTCGGTCACCCCGCTGTCTCTATTTCCAGGCTTGCCCTTTACAGACGCCCTCCCCGCAGCGCCGACAAACGAGGGGACGGCAGGGGCCCCCTGCAGCCCGCGGTTCACCCACGCAGCCCCTAGCGCCCGCTGCTCCCACCGAACCCAGCAGCCCCCCCGCCCCTCCCCGGGGACTCCGGCTTCCCCCGCCCCTGGGCTGCACGTGGCCCTTCCACGCCGGGCGTCCCCCCCTGCCCCGCGCCCGGCTCCCGCGGCTGCCTCGCGCGTCCCCCTCCCCAATGCCCGCTCTGGCTCAGGCAGGCTCCGGGCAGAGGCAGAGGCTTCGCGGTGGCCAGAGCGCAGGCTCGGCTGCGCCGGGCATGCGCGGTGCGAGGCGGGGAGCCCGATCTGATAGGGAGCAGGGGCTGACACTACCCCCGTGTGGGCGGCGGAACGTCCCGAGGATGACGTGCGGCGTTCTCGAATCCCGTGGCTGGCTCGCTCGCTCGCTCGCTGCTGGTGCCGAAGGAAACGGGAAAAGCAACAAGAAGGCAGGAGCAGGAGCGGCGCCATGGCGGCCCTGGAGCGGCCCGTGCCCAGTCCCGAGGCGTTCCTGGGCCAGCCCTGGGCCGCCTGGGTCCGGGAGGCCGCCCCCTCGCACGCGTACTGCGCCGCCCTCCCGCACAGTAAGGGCAGCACCAGACACGGAGCCCTGCCCGGGGCTCCCCATGCTGCTCCCCTCCCCCTGGACACCCACATGGAGGAGGGGGACGGGGCTCGCCGCCCGGGGTGATGGGGGCAGCGGGGAGGCCCGAGGCTCCGCTGTCCCCCCGCCGCACTAGGGGCTGCCTTCTCCCCCACACGCCCACTGCACAGCTCTCCGTCCCCATGCGTGTGGGGAGGCGCTGGGTACGCGGTGCCTGCTGCCGGCACTGTATTGGGTACCTCTGCTGGGCCAGCTGCAGGGGGTGAGGGGCAGGCGGAGGATGCTCTTGCTTGGGAGGCTGGAGGCGCCGGGGGATGCCGCGGCGTGGGAGGGGGGGCTGGGGAGGCAGGAGGATGCTGCTGCTCGGAGGGGGCTGGGGGCAGGAGGTTGCGGTTGCATGGGGGAGAGTGGTGGAAGAGAAGATGCGCTTGCATGGGAGGGGGGCAGGAGGACGCTGTTGCCTGGGGAGGCCGGCACCGGTACTCCAAGGCAGGTGCTGTGACGGTGATAGTTGGGTTTTTACTGTTAAACACATACACACTGTTAACTCCTTCCCCTCCCCAATAAACACATCTCCTTTGACCCTCTCTTGACTTCTCTTCTCTTCTGCAGGTGTAGATCTAGAAGAGACTGGAAAAGAGGGTGGAAAAAGCAGGGAGGTTATGAGGCTTAATAAAGAAGGTAAGTGCAAACCACTGGCACACTTTTACCTGCCTGTGTCGTAGTGGTTTTGAGTGAGTGTGGCATGGTCTTAACAAGGTATCATAATATCATGTGAATTGTTGTGCTGGGTAACCATGAAGAATGCTTATCAGGCTTGAGTCCATACAAGCGATTGTCACTATGTGTCAACTTCTTTTAAAGTATAAATATAATGGGTGTGTGCATAAATGTTACATGTTAAAGGATAAAAGACCATTTTAAGTCAAAGGATCATGTGACACTTCATATTGGATTTCTTTCTGAAAGTCTCTATCCTTTTTGTTACGACAGTCCCTTCATTTCGGTATGGAAATACACACATGCGTGCATCTGGGTACCAACTTCAAGCAGCTTAATTCTAAAAGTTATTAGCAACTGCAAAGACAACAGGATAGGCTGTTTTTCACTTTTGCTGAAAAAATTGGTTTGTGGTAATATTTAAATGAGTTCATATTAGCTCAAGTTGCATTTTGGTTTCAGATTGTCATGTGGTGAGTGTGGTTACAGATGGCTAAATGGATAATTCACAGTGTTACATTTTATTAAGGCCAACGAATGTATATAACCTGAAATCAAATCCAGTGAGTGGTTTGAGAAATACTGGGCATAAGACTGCTGTTTGAAATATCAAGTTTCCAGGTGCTATGAATGTGAACACACAAGTAAATTTCAATGTACCGGCATTTCCAAATATGCCAAGAAGCCTGCAAATTGGTAAAAGAAACCACTTTAGTGTGGCTGCAGGCACTCAGATTGACAGATTTGTTTGTGACAGGATTTGCTAAAATAACACTTGGCTATGGTATAATGAAATTAGTGAATTAGTATTTGGCAGATTTTGAGGGTGACTTTATACTGAAGAAATTATTTTAGTTTGTTACAGTGTGAATAAGATTTTATAAACTCATAGCCTGATCACCACCAAAAAATACACTTGATGTGAAATTGGTTCATAAGAAGCAGGCCCACCGTAGTGAAACTTTACATAACATACTAACATTGAGAGAGCTCAGATTATTAATAAGGGATACTCGAGTATTGTAACTAGGGCTGTCAAGCGATTAAAAAAATTAATTTGTGATTAATTGCGCGATTAATTGCACTGTTAAACAATAATAGAATACCATTTATTTAAATATTTTTGGATGTTTTCTACATTTTCAAATATATTGATTTCAATTACAACACAGAATACAAAGTGTACAGTGCTCATTTTATATTTGTTTTTGATTACAAGTATTTGCACTGTAAAAAAACAAAAGAAATAGTATTTTTCAGTTCACTTAATACAAGTACTGTGGTACAATCCCTTTATCATGAAAGTTGAACTTACAGATGTAGAATTATGTACAAAAACAACTACATTCAAAAATAAAACAATGTAAAATGTTAGAGCCTACAAGTCTACTCAGTCCGACTTCTTGTTCAGCCAGCTGCTCAGACAAACAAGTTTGTTACATTTGCAGGAGATAATGCTGCCCACTTTACAGTGCAATTAATGCTGCCCACTTATTGTTTACAATGTCACCTGAAAGCGAAAACAGGTGTTTGCATGGCCCTGTTGTAGCAGGCATTGCAAGATATTTACGTGCTAGATGCGCTAAAGATTTATATGTCCCTTCATGCTTCAATCACCATTCCAGTGGACATGCTTCCATGATGATGGGTTCTGCTCAATAACAGTCCAAAGCAGTGCAGACCAATGCATGTTCATTTTCAGATCCCACCAGCAGAAGGTTGATTTTCTTTTTTGGTGATTTGGGTTCTCTAGTTCCTGCATCGGAATGTTGCTCTTTTAAGACTTATGAAAGCATGCTCCACAACTCGTCCCTATCAGATTCTGAAAGGCACTTCAAATTCTTAAACCTTGGGTCGAGTGCTGTAGCTATCTTTAGAAATCTCACATTGGTACCTTCTTTGCGTTTTGTGAAATCTGCAGTGAAAGTGTTCTTAAAATGAACAACATGTGCTGAGTCATGATCCAAGACTGCTATAACATGAAATATATGCAGAATGCGGATAAAACAGAGCTGGGGACGTACAGTTCTCCCGCAAGGAGTTCAGTCAGAAATTTAATTAACGCATTATTTTTTTAAGGAGCGTCATCAGCATGGAAGTATGTCCTCTGGAATGGTGGCCAAAGCATGAAGGAGCATACAAATGTTTAGCATATCTGGTGCAAAAGTACCTTGCAATGCCGGCTACAAAGGTGCCATGCAAATGCCTGTTCTCACTTTTAGGTGATATTGTAAACAAGAAGCAGGCAGCATTATCTCCTGCAAATGTAAACAAACTTGTTTGTCTTAGCAATTGACTGAACAAGAAGTAGGACTGAGTGGACTTGTAGACTCTAAAGTTCTACATTATTTTGTTTTTGAGTGCAGTTATGTAACCAAAAAAAAAATCTACATTTGTAAGTTGCACTTTCATGATAAAGAGATTGCAATACAGTACTTGTATGAGGTGAATTGAAAAATACTATTTATTTTATCATTTTTACAGTGCAAATATTTGTAATAAAAAATAATATACACTTTGATTTCAGTTACAACACAGAATAAAATATATGTGAAAATGTAGAAAAAAATCCCAAATATTTAATACATTTTAATTGGTATTCTGTTGTTTAACAGTGCGATTTAAAACTGCGATTAATCGCGATTAATTCTTTAAATTGCGATTAATTTTTTTGAGTTAGTCATGTGAGGTAACTGCGATTAATCAACAGCCCTAATTGTAACAATGTGTATCTTTAGAGTATATATGTTACAGAATTATGTTAACTAGATTTTTATCACATTGACATTAATTCTGTGACAATGGCAACATTGTTGGCAACTTAAATGAAAACTAGAGACAATGTTTCTTTTCCAGACAAACCTTATAACTTATTCTGTGTTTCAAATCAGATGATTATTAATGTAAATTTGTATTTACCATACTTCAGAAATCTGTTACTGCTTTCAGGTAGCAACTTGCAGGACTTTTAATCCACTTGAATAAATTAGTATGAGTTGAAATATTTTTATCTTACTCATTTAATCAGTCTGTTAATGTAAATTGTTATATCATAGCCATCATTGTGTTTGAGTACCCTTTGTAAATCATGAATGAGCCTTCACTCCCCTTGCTAAAGGTGGGAAAAATCTGAGCGCTCAAGTCAGATGTACAGAACTCATTGCCCGTGTATTTGCAACAGTACTTGTGGATGTATTCTGATCTCACATATACAACAGCTATTGCATGGTATGACAGTGTTTTTGTTATGGCAAAGGCTTATGGACCTGGAAGGTCTTCAGTTCAAACCCAACTTGATTTTCTTTGTGACCTTATACAATTCAGTTAACTTCCTTATATCACAGACTACCAAGGTATAAAGCTAGGTTATAAATAGGGCCCTACCAAATTCACAGTCTATTTTGGTCAATTTCACAGTCGTAGGATTTTAAATATCACAGATTTCATGATTTCAGCAATTTAAATCTGAAATCTTACGGTGTTGTAATTGTAGGGGGGGCCGCAAGGTTATTGTTGGGGGTGGGGTGGTTGCGGTACTGCTACCCTTACTTCTGCACTGCGGGGGCAGCGTTGGCTTCAGAGCTGGGCAGCTGGAGAGCGGCGGCTGCTGGCCTTGAGCCCAGCTCTGAAGGCAGAGCCGCAGCCAGCAGCAGTGCAGAAGTAAGGATGGCATGGTATGATATTGCCACCCTTCTGAGCTGCTGCCTGCCGAGCTGGGTCCTTGACCAGCAGCCACCACTCTGTGGCTGCCCCGCTCTGAAGGCAGTAGCACAGAAGTAAGGGTAGTATGGTATGGTATGGTGTTGCCATCCTTATTTCTGCACTGCTGGTCATGGTGCTGCCCTCAGAGCTGGGTGCCTGGCCAACATCTGCTACTCTCCGGCTGCCCAGCTCTGAGGGCAGTGCAGAAGTAAGGGTGGCAATACCATGACCCCCTGAAACTCCCCTTTGGGTCAGGCCCCCCCATATGATAAACACTGGTCTCCCCCATGAAATCTGTATAGTATAGGGTAAAAGCACACTAAACTCCAGTATTCACAGAGGGAGACCAGATTTCATGGTCCATGATGCATTTTTCATGGCTGTTAATTTGGTAGGGCCCTAGTTATAAACAGGACTTTACAAAAATCTGAGACTTCATGTGAGTTATGATAATATTTATTGAATGATAGTAAATTATTTTTAAACGTTGAAAAAATCCAGAAATCTTAGTTTATCAAATTTGCTTTTTTGTAGTATATGGCTTTTGTCATGATGATAAATACCAAATGTACATTTTAAAATTTTTATATTTTAAGTAATTGAAATAGTTGCTTAGCAGGAGATTGCTTAGCTACTTAGTTTTTACTCCATAAAGCACTCATCAGATGTTGACTAAGTTCCTCTTATCAATGAGAAAAAATAAAACCATATAAAAACTAGTAGGGTTTTGTATTCCCATTTGCACACATGAGATAGATGAGGAAAGAATATTTGAAAGGGTCCATAATCCATGATGGATCATTTGTTGGTGGTATGATAGCACACCATTAAAGACTGCTACCTCACTCATTATGGCCCAGTTTACATACCTCTTTCAGTGGTAAGCAATTACATAAAATAGTTCCATTCAGGTCAGTGGAGCTACTTGTGGGAGTAAGTGCTCACCATTGAGAGTAAGAGTCCAACAATCTGGACCTATTATATAATTTCTGTAGTGGAAAAGGTGCAATGAGGCCATGTTTTAAAAAAAACAAATAAAAACTAGAGACTTACAAAAGACCGCATTGTATACTGCCCCTTGTTTTATTATTTGTATAGTGAGAGAATAGTGAGGAGGGGAAAAAATCATGAATATTTGCTCATATTTGCAAATGAACTTGCTTTGGCCATGATCGTGTCCCCTTTATGTTTACTTTTTGTGAATGTGTTTGTGTTTTACTGGTAAGTATGTTTGTGGAAAGTGGATTTCCAAGTTACAT